GTTTTTTTTTTTTTGGCAACAAAAAAACACCAACCTTTAGTTCTTTATATCGGCATAATAATTATCAGTAAATGGGTAGAGATGTGGAAATACCAACAAAAATTAATACTTTTCACAATTTGTATTTCAATAATTTTTAATAATATTTTCGACTAGCCCAAAATTTTAGAAAGCAACAGATGTTTCACATTTGTATAATATTTCCCGCTTAAGTGACCCTCGGTTAATTGGTTTGCCCCTTAATTGATTCCTCGCTTAAATTAACTAACAATTTTGCAATTTTTGAAATGAAATTAAGCGGGAAATACTGCCTTAAAATGATTAATGTTGCAAGTTTCCGCTTTTCTGCACTGAGAAAAGAGTTTAGTATCGTCAACCAAATATGTTTTCCTCAACACATGATCTCATTATAAATAGTTACCAGTTTTAATCTAACTTTTTTCTGAGTGTATGTACATTTCCCATAGATTTCCAATAGGTTTGAGATCGGATTATTGAGCTTGCTACATCGGTTAACCAATTTTTTAGTCATGAAATTCGGATTGTTATAATGTGGACGGATCCACTTAGAAGGCATCTCTTCAATTTCACTATTCAAAATAATCGACCAGGCCAGGATCGAACCATTTACCTAAATTTGCCTTACAAACTAGGAACAAACGCAAAAATCCAAGTGTATGTTCCCAGTAGAAAAAATTTTCACCGATGACATCGTCACTAGTGTGGATTTAGTGTCATCGTCGCAATTGCTGAGAATCGAGAATCATAAACGACATATCGCTGACAATGACACTGGTGCAAATGTCATGGAGGTGTACTCCTATGAAAGACTTATAACGGACTGTCTTGCAACGGTCACTTTTAAAATGCCCATTGCAGGATACTGTTGCTTGGATGTCATCAATGATCACTACATGACAAAGTCATGCAGAGGCCATCAACGACCAAATTACTATTTCTATGCATGAAAAAGTCATGAATGTCTTCCATATAAACGGAGCCCAAAGTCATTTAAGACGTAGCATGGCCATACAAGACACTTAAGTGACTAATGCATGACATTCGCGACGGGATTCACATGTTTGTTCAATTATGTACATGAAAATGATTGCTCTCTGCGATGCGTCCTATAGTTTTGTCTGACACCGTCCGTGCTGATACGCACGTTTTTATGCCCTATCGTCTGTGTCGTTCTCTTTACAATTTACAAAATTCGCTATTCACAATCATTTAACCACCAACGCCACACATACATACATACATAGACTGCCTCAATGCCCATCAGCATCAACGTCAACATCACTCCAAATGTCCTTACAATGGAATCAATAACAACAGCAAATGCAATAACAAAGGGTATTGGCACAGAGCAGCTGCAGTTGTTTCGCCAACCACCCCTTGAAGCTGTGAAACGACAAAAAAAATTACTCTCCTCGTAGAGTAAACTCAGGTCGGATATGCGATGTGGCGCTAGCGAAGACGTGACTGACTGAGTGACTAACTGACGTGCCTCCACCCCAAAACCACGCCAAGTTATAACCAAAATGATGCCGATACCGAATGAACAAAAGAAACCAAAATAAAAGCAGCTGATGAGTAGCAACAAACACCGGCTAACACATCCACTCCCAATGCACGTGAGTAGTTGATACACATGCGCCATACAGCAACAACAATGCAAACAAAAGCAAAAGCCGGTAAAGATGTATTGCAAAAATCAGCTGAACAACAACCAACAAAAGAAAACACTGAAATAAACAGTGAATACGCCGAGAGCGAAGAGAACGACTGTTGCCGGAAGAGAGGGTTGAGAGTGGAAATTATAAAAGTTCATTTTCCGACCCATGTCTACGAAATTCCACAAATTCATTTTGACTACCACATACTACTATTTACATATCTATATTATTTGTCGATTCATTTCTTCTTGGCTAACGTTGGCCTAGTCAGCTGGCTGGTGCACTCTTAACGACTTCGAGCTTACTGTTTTGCCTTTAACTTAGAACAAAATATTGGTAGCATTCGTTAATGTTACATTACGTAGAGCTCGATGAAATCATCTCATTGGCTTTGAACTAACTGCCGTGTTGTTGAATTGGTTGCATTAAAGTGTAAGATATCTCTCAGTTTTAGTTTGATTTATAAATTTATTAGGGTATCAAAGATCTTATTAAAAGGTTTGCCCCAAAAATGGCTTTTAGCCTTAGATCATACTACTCCTCAGCCAATCCACTTAGTTCTACCAACGAAACCGTACTATCCGAATCCCCGAAAAATAATTTCGATAGTGATTGCGATAGGTTAGTAATATGCGGTAGTCAGTAAGGAATTCCGATAGGACAGTGACTGGTCATTACCCCGAGTAAAGATAGAACTGTGGCTGCGAATGCAGTCAGGAGCTCCTTTTACCGCCCCTGATCCACTCTAGGCCAAAGGAACTTTGCAATTGTCTAATAACCGTACACTGAGTTGACATGAAGCCGCTCCCTGTTCGGTAATATCATTTCAAGGCAACCTTTCAAGTCGACTCGTCAGCCATGCAGTTTTCAGCAATGTCACTATGGCTTGGTATTCCGGCGAAATTGTGTTTAGAGGTCCTTCAATCCCTGACCAACTTTGAGCACACCATTAGTGAGTTCAGGGCTTTGCTCGCCGCTGAGCTATCAGATTAGATTCGTATACCCGTTATTGACGGCAAACCCCTGGGTAGTAAATCCATTGTACCACTCAAACATTTGTTTAAGAAAATTTGTATAGATAAAAATCTCTTGTATTCAGTGACGAAATCGAAGCCCTCTAGACTTACAGAGTGCTACAAAGTGGAGCTTGTTATGCATCCTATTGCCCTGAGCTTCATTGTTGCCTGTTCCATGTCAGCTTTGCCTGTATTCCCAACAGGCGTTAAGCGACAGAGTGGGAGTGAGGGCAGCCCGCTGTACGCACTCTAGCTGCTTAAGTTTTCTCTGACGAGTTTTACCAGGCGCGAGCTCCATAAAACATAGTAAGCTTAGCCTTCCTGTTTTAGAGCCAATAAATTACTATGGGCGAGAGGCCATTTGTTTACCAATAGATCGCCGGCAGCGATAAAAATTAGATGATTCCTTCCTCATTGTGAGGATTCCGCGACAGTTTCCCATCTAGGATTAGGTAAGAAAGCTGCAAGCGATGGTCAATAATTTAGGGAATATACGCAGGAATAAGTCGTTTTAATTCAATTTGCCACTACTCAAAACATACGTATAAACTGAATTTCGATTCGCTTTGAAAGAGCGAAGTGTTTTGGCTCACACTCCATTTCAAATCGGTAGTTTATTTCTCCAGACAGTTAGAAAGAGTGTATAAACACCTCTTGTATTTCCTAATGATTTACATCAGTTCTGTCTTGCTAGGATTCAGACATCCCTAAATTAGAGCGCTAAGCATTTTGAAGCGCCAAATTAGGGGATGGCTGATTGACAGCGACGCCGAGGTTAACCGCTCTTTTAGTCACCAAGTTTAGATAGCCTTGGGCCAAATCGTATAGGTTGCCTAAAAATTCTCTTTTTAGCATATGTGCCAAGTTGTCAGGGGCTTGCGCTCTGCTGCAACTCCTTGAACAGGTCGTTCACGACTACAAAGAATAAAGATAGGGTACTACTTCTTACAGTGTGCATCTTTTCACTCGGCGCTGTAAGCAAGCGCAGCTTCACACGCTGTGAAGCTCGGTCTTCTCAGACATTTCTTTATTCTCTATTATTATAACGCCTCTAGACACGAATAAAGGCGCGAGCTGAAAAGTTGACCGCGGAAAAAGACGCATAAAGAAAACTTCAGCGAAGAAAGGCACCTAAACTTAGTCGACGGCGAAGAAAGACGCGTTAATCTATTTTACGGCGAAGAAAGACGCATAAATTATTTTCGCGGTCAACTATGTTTGTGAGTGTATTTGTATGTATATTATCTAAAGGGATTTGGGGAATAATGCTGAAGTGAGAGTCCTTGGCTAGGTACAAATCTATGTTTACCCGTCTTTCTTCGCCGTGAACTAGGTTTACACGTCTGTTTTCGCCTAAGTTTTTTTACGCGTATTTTTCCGTCAATGCGTCCTTTTTCGCAGTCAAAACAATGGCGCGTCTTTATTCGTGTTTAGTGACGATAAGCATGCGTCACCCTTTGGATATACCCACTTCTCACGCTATTTCCGCAAATTTAAGCCAGTCACCTTCACGGCAACTCCATAGCGCGCTCCCGCGATAGTCGGATCAACTAAATGGGAACGACCTACATTCATATCTGACCAACAAGGTATGCCACTCAAGAGCATCAGTTCCCAAACCTCTTTGGGAAATTTGTATGATGTTGCAACAACAACAACTCGATAGGCCTTTCCAGCTGTGCAGGTACGCTGTGGTTCGGTTCCGGAGACTTCAATGATTTGAACGAGTTTATCGTTCATACAATTTGAGAGAGGGCAGTCTCATCTTTTATCTTTTCGGATTCTTATTTCGGACTTGTAAATTCCCCGTCCAGATTTATAAAGTTTCCAGTAGAAAATAACAGTACTAACACCTCCATTGACTTCCTTACATCTTCAGCTGCGCTTACAAGCGACTGTCGACGTCTTAACACAGCCTAATTTGTAATTTTCTGTACCAGAATGGTCTTCGTTTTCAAAAGAAGATACCCTCAGCATACGCATTTGCTAACCTCTATGAAACTTATTTATCGGATCTTGTGTAGAGGGTATATATTTTATTTCCGCAGAATGCAATTGCTTGTAATTTCTGCCCGGGCAGTGGTTATTGCAGCTTCTCTTCTGCTGCATTCAAAAGTTGTTTACACAGCCACTGGTTTTTTGCCAATAACAATTTCAGTTTTGCTATTATTATCGGCGCAGATGCAGCACCAGTCCACAGTCCACAATTCATTCGAGCTCGCAATGCAGTCATTCCGGGCGGTGCTCAGACAAAAAGCAACTTGCAATACTGACGGTATTGGTGTCCAATTGGACTGCACTTGTGCACATTCGCTGCGTTCACAGCGGCTAGTTGGAATTTGTTGTCGATGCGTTGCGGTTGTGAAAAGCGGACGTGTGCGCGTACATATATCACGCTCTATTGCGATACGGGCGTATGTGCAACGGTTAAAGTGCTACAGTTTTTTTTTTTATAATTTATGAAAAATTTTGCAAATCTTCATTTTCATTTAAAACGAAAATATGTAGTGGAAATGCTATTCCTCACAGATAAGCTTAAGATTTTGTTGTAGTATGACCTTTTTTGAATGATGTGGAAATGAATGGTGACAAATGGTGTATCCAGACGATGCAGACAAAAATTGGCAGTGAACGGCGCTTCCTGTCACAGCGCAGCTTACAATTGCTGCCGTTCCGGCCAGCGATTCCCATTGGCCTTCTCAATTTTTTTAGTGATTTTTTATAGATACTCGGTAGTTGTTTGTGAACATGTGTGTGAACCAAGAAAAAATTCACGAAAATATGTATGAAGATTCTTTTAAACAAGTATTGACTTTCTATTTTTATTTTTCAATAAATCTCAATAATATATTGCGTCCAATACTTCTCCAGTAAGAAATTAATTACCGATATTTATCTCACGTGTTTAAAAGTGCCAGCGAACGTAAATCGCAAAAATTGTCTGTATTTCTGCAAAGTCAAAATCTTTCGCGCAGAACAGCAATAATAGATAAATGTTTTTTCCCCGATTTATACACGTCTAATCCATTAAGTGCTTCAAATCGCACACAAGCGTGAGCAACCTACCCCAAGCCAATGAGGTGACGCTCATGCAAAAGCAACAAAAGTAGTGGACCCAGCACGCCGTTTAAAGCAGAATATGTCCACACAATAAAATCGCAACAATTGCAGAAAAGAGCAGCACTAAGCGGCTTACCACACGGCGGAAATAGCATAGTCAACAGCAAAGGTAAGTGTGTACCTCCTGCGTTCTGCCCCTACAACCTCTTTCCGGCACACCATGTTTGGCCAGCAGCCCAGCACTGCTCAAGCCTTATGCTTATGTACATACATATGTATGCTTACTAAGGTACTGGTGAATTCTGGCCAACACATGTGTTAAATGCCTCATTGGCTGGTTAGTTCGTGATTCAGCGAAATAGGCAAATAAAAAAAAAAAAACAACACCTGAACGAAGCAAAGAGAAGAGCAAAGGAAAAATTATAAATAGTGTAGCGTAAAAAATTTATGTTTAAAAACTTTTGCTTTTTCTTCTACTTTGATAAAAGTTGGTTTGTATGATTCTCACAAACTGTTCCCAAGTCTGTTCTTTCCTTTGTATTACGCGCGTATACATGCCACTTCTGAGCACAGTTCTTATTTAGCCTGTTAACTGACTCTGTTTCTATAAAAAAGAAAATAAAAATATTTCAGGAAACGGAAAATGAAAGCAATTTACACTTATTCTTCCCTTACTTGCATTTTATCTCCACCAATACTATGCTGATTTTGTGGGAAAATATTTTATTTTATCACATGTGAGGACATGTGTTTTAGAGCATACATATTTACATACAAAGAGAGTTATGGACTACTTTTTTTACATATATTTTTTTGTTAAATCTGCTTATATTATACGTTATTAATCCTAACTGCAAGTCTAAAAATCTTAACTCTTATTTGCAATAACATAGCTCACACCCTGGGGTTGTGCCCTGCTGGTTAAACGCCGCTCGAAACAAGGCTAGTAGATCTCTTCTTCGCAGGCGGGATGGATTTATTGTGTTGCACAGAGCCACCACAGGATGAAAGTTGTCTCCTCGCTTGATGGGATACATTTCTGAGAGAAAGGGACGTGCTCGCCCTGGGAATTGATCTGCCGCACAATTAACTGGTACATGTTTGGGTTCCGGAAACCCTTGGATGCCAGCTCGTTTCGAATATGTCTACATTCTATAGCTAAATATTTTAGAAAAAGTAAAAAGTAAAGATTACTTCTTGACTTGGACAACACTACAGTGATGTAGCGATTGAAAGTTTTATTTAAGTGAAACTTCCCGCGAATATACATACACTACTTCTTATCCTCTGCTACACCATTCAGCCGTAGGTGTATTTGACAGTAGGGTCAGAGTAATTTTCCAGGGCTACATCTTCTTCCCATTCGCTCCACGCCGGAGGCACGGTGTTGTGTAGCAGCGTTAGGACTTCACTACGATCGTAGAAAATTTACTACGATTTTTGAAGAAAATTAGAAGTTTAGAATGGTCGGCAGCTATTGATATCCTAAACTAAAAAAGAGCAAAATATGACGGCCAATATACATAAAAAATATCTACTATGGAGTATTATTTTTTGCTAAGATTTTTCACCTCATTCTCTCCGATTTAAGTTTGCCGTATTTCTAAACCTGTTGTGTAGTCTGCAAACCTAGTGCTTTTAGGTGGCCAAGTCTTCTACGCTCCTTATAGCCAGAGCGTGTCGCATTACAGCTTAATTTGGGTCTACGGTGCAGGTTCACTGAGAAGAGATTAAGAAGATATACTGCATCAAAAACATTTGTTTCGGTGTTTATTTAAACACAGGATTTTGAAGAAATTCCCAACTTTAGATCTTTAGGTTTTAAAAATTTTTGTAACTACTCTGTAAAGGCACAAACTCTTAGACGGGCCTTTTCTATGTTAAGGTAATGTGTGTACATTAAGCCTTATCACGACATATGAAGGAAAAAAAGTTTAGTTTTGTATAAACTCTTATGTCGAGAGAAAATTCTGGGTGTAAACAAATTTTTAGTCACTCTCCAAAAAAACGATAAATCGAGTTTTGTGCTATAACTTTCTTATTTTATATCCGATTTTTAAAATCTCGTTGTCGCTAAAAAGGTCTCGCTCAGGACTATGATTTGCCATTAAACAGTTTTGGCCTTCAAACCTAATTCAAACCTACACTAATTTTGGAATTACTATTCCTAGATTTTTGTTTTTATATGTACTAGGATTTTAAAGCTCTCAAAAAATTATGACGACCTGGCTAAAAATGGTTAGACTTTATTCAATTGAATAAACAATTTCGAAAAGGGCGTATGTCTAAGTACTAAAACTTTTCAGGAAATAAAAAAGAGTAATTATTTTTTAAAAAAAGAAAAATAAAATTTGAAAAAACATCTTGTTGCACTTTGGGGTCAATTAATAATCGAAAGTTCAAATTCAATAAATGTTTATTATTAATGCTATTATATATGTATACATATGTAGATATTTTAAATTTATGAGATGTGCCCTTTTCGAAAACTACGGTATTGATTTCACATAATTTAAAGAACAAAGTCATATACATTTGTCGAAACTTTTATTTTATAAAAATAGATTGGCGCTTACACATATGTTAGTGTTTGGCCGAGCTTCTCCTCCGACATGTGGAGTGCGCCTTGCGGAGGGACCTACAGTTTTACGCCGACTCCGAACGGCGAATGTATTTTTATGAGAAGCTGTTTTTCATGGTAGAAATACACTCAGAGGTTTATTCTAATTTTGTCGACGACAATGAGCAAATGTAGTAGTGGTACTAAAATATATAATGTAAAAATGTTCACAGTTTTAATAAGTCTTTCGTTTTCGAAATTGCATATTCAATTATTCTCCTGAATTCTTTACACCCTAAGTTTTTTCTCGACATAAGTATTCAAATAAAACTGGCACACGCTAAACTCTTTTCCTGATACGCCTTAATAAATATACGTTCATACATTATCATCATATAAAAAGTCTTACTTTTTTATTTTTTGAAAATGCTCGTATTTTAATCCTGTTTTTTTTTCAATTTAATAGAGTTAGTCAAAGTGGGCATTTTATCTGTATTTAAGTTTTAAAAATCGACCCATCTATTTTTAACGTCGTCGAAAGAAAATTGTTTCCCTATGAAGAGTTTGAAATTTTTTAGTACGCTCCAGAGCGGAATTGGCGATCCGAAAATGTGATTTCGATAACCGCAAATATTTAACCAACTTTTCCCCACAACACGAATGCTATTTTAATTACCGCTCTCAAAACAACTAGCTGTACAAGTTCCACTTATTAACCCACCCTGCGCCAATAACTCTGGGTCATATGGATTCGACAGCGATTTTTAAAGGCTATATTTGGGTGTTTTCTAATATTACGTATTTGAGCGTTTAGATAACTGGAGGCTCAAACACCCTCTACTCCTTCCGCTCGTGCACTCAGTGACGTCAAAATGGGTACGTATGACACAGCATCATCGGCGTTATGAAAGTAATTATTTTCATTTCATTGGCGCCGAGTTAAGATTGACCAACCGTTAGATAGTAGATAATCGTAAAAATCCGTTAAGGAAAGTTTTGGAAAAGATCGCCTATTAAATAAATATGTTTAACGATCTGGGTTAATTAATAAAGAAATAGTTATTACCATATTTGAATTTATGGTTCTTTTATGACTCAGCAAACTTTACTTTAATCAATAAACTTGAAATTAGGGAGAGCAAATATACATACATTCATATAAATAAATGTTCATACAAACATACATATATACCATTGTATGTATTTGCCCTAATCCAAGAAGAAAGGGCAGAATAAAAATTGATTCTTCATCCGAAATTACTTGATTGATGAATACAAGTTTATTCGTATCGTATTTATTCGTATGTACGTATGTATGTCGGAACTTTTTTTGAAGTATTGTCACGTCTACTTTTACAAAATTTTTGGGTGAAGATTCTAAAATCAGCTTCTTCCAAAAAGTTTTTTCACAGCTGGCCATATTTTCACAGCTTAGTATATTTTTTAGTGCCGAGTTTTTAAACTCGATAGAACTTTCCACAAATTAAATTTAAACAAGTAAAAAAGTTTAAATTCGGGCGAAGCCGAACATTAAATACCCGGCTCACTTATCAAATAGAGTTCTTTCACATTTCCGAAAACTATCGTTGCGTGTTAAGCAGGGACGGTTTCACCCCTATATTAAACATATTCGAAAGTATGTTCTGTTAGACTTAATGAAATAAACTTATATAGTTATCAGTTGGCGGTATCAAGCCTATTTTCCAAAATTTCATAATAATGTTACTTCTATTCAAGGGATTGTTGAGAGTATAAAATTTAAGTAAATTGGCGTCCTTAAATTTCGAAATATCGAAGTTTCAGCATTTCTGAAATATACCGTTCTAAGAAAAGAGGGCATAATTTTAGTTTCAATGCCTTGCTTTTGCGTGGCAAGTATATTAGTTATACCAAGTTTGGTACAATTTGATGGAACGGGGTTGCCGAGATACACATATGTGGTCATAAGCGGGCGTTGCCACGCCCATTATCCAAAAATCTGTTTTAAACGTACAGTATATTTTGCTTAGCTGTACATCCTTCTTTGCACGAAAAACTTGTGCGCTTAACCGAAAAAAGCACTTAAGCGAATTTTCTTTACTACTTCAATGAGGAAGGTATCCGAATCCCTATGAAACCAAATAATGGAGGAGCACTTACCACGTGGAAATTACTGCAAGCGAAATTTTTTCCGAATGGTATCTAATTATCTATATAACTACATAAAATGATAGCCGTTTTCGTTATTCTGCGAGATGAGCAAAATAAATAAAAGCTTGTAAAATTAGGGTAAGTATAGAGTGCCAGTGCAGGTAAACGTAATACTTTCTTTGATAATTGATAATAGTTGCAAATTTTTGAGGCAGGTATCGCTAATGTGCAGGTATGTTGAATGCATCTATCGGAGCAGTTTCCTTATAAATGTTAAAAATAATGTCGCTGATGCGCATTTTGGGGTAGGTATCTTAAATGTGCACTTAAGCATGAAGGCAGCAAAGCAAAATATACTGCATTTTCTGCTAAGGAGTTATTGCAAACATAAAGTTTGAATAAATGAGCTTCAATAGTTACTGATTTATCGAAGATTTCGTATTTCTCTAAATTACCGTTATATGAAATGTAGGCGTGGT